CTTGAGCATTGATGGATTATGGATGGAGAACTGCAAGCCTGAGCACCGGCCAACCATGGACAGAGAACTACACACCTGAGAGGTTGAGACAATCAATATAGGAACTCACTTTGACCTTTCTCTAAATCATTAATTAGATTAGCAACGATAATCTCAGAATAGAGGGGATCTATGACTAGTTACAGATTTTTACACTTAATGTACAAAATATACATATTCAAACAATGTGGATTTCTACAGCACCCAAACAATGCATTTGGTTGAACTCTACCATTGTTGTAGCTTGGTTTGACAAGACAACACATGCCCCACATCCGCATCCAAAATCCATCCCTAACTCTCATATGTCTCACCTTCTATATGATAAATTCAAGATAGAAGGCAACTTTTTATTCTAAGATTCTCATTGCTTATTTGCTTAATGAAATCAAGAGAAAAGGCCAAACAAAAAAACTTTATTGTTGGTCTCAAATGTGTTTCATCGATGGTCTGTTGATGCTCAGGCGTGCTTAGTTAAGTGGTGGAAAGCTAAACCCTAATTTTAGAAATCCTAGGAATTTCTCTATTTTTTATTTCATCTAAATTAAATTATAATTTTTCATAAATTAAAAATAAGATAAAGATGTCTGAAATGTTGAAACATTGGTTAATTGTACTCACACATGGAAAATCTACATACGCGTAGGAAATCTAGATTCTCAAGAGGCTGTGCTTGCGTGATAGAAAGCAGAGTTGGAATCTGTTGCACTTTTTTGTGCTGCACTTTCATTCACATGTGTCTCGTTACACGTGTGCATTATGACACCACACATGTCATTAGAAATCTATCGAAATGCAGCATAAAAAGTGCAGCAATCATCACATATGCTTATAGGGGGCTGAAGTTGTTAAACTGCCAATAGAGTCCGAGAATCCAACATCGATTATTTTTCGACATAGTTATCAGGACTTACATCCGCTTAATAATCAGATCGAAGGGAGATTTGGTTCATCCGATCAAAGTCCAATTAAAATTTATTTATATAAAATTATATAAATTTTATTGTTAATAAATTCAATATTATATAAATAAAAAATTAATTAATGTTTAAAATCCTTTTAAGATTTTCCTTAATTTAGAAATAATATAGTGTATTAAATTTTAAAGTTCCAATAAATGGATTGGATTCAAATGTAGCTGAATTTGATAGGTATCAGACCTGGTTTCGTTAATTACCATAAAGTGGTGTTTTAAGACCAAGGCCCCAAGGGAATTGAATGAGAGTATGGATCTCCAGCCCACAAGAACTTTGCCCACATCTACCCACATAGCATCTCAGCCACACATGGGGAATATCTCATCTTCCTATATAGTATTATGTATGGGGAGATGTTCTGAATGCATGAAGGTAGTGTGTTGTGGGTAAACGTGGGCAAAGTTGTTGTGGGCAGGAGATACAGGGTCATTGAATGAATACTTGATTTGATTTATATGTTTAGTAAAAAAAATAAAATAATCAAATCAAATAGAAAAACTTGAATAATAGTGATTAGATTGATATTTAATGGTTGATATGAAATTCAGGGACCCACTTTCAAGGCGATGATGATATTAGGAAGTTGGGATTGCCTGCCAACAAAATACATTAATTCCAACCCTCTACCAATATCATCTCACACTGCATATCTCACAATAAAATTGGGATGTTTAGGACGCGCCTATGTATGAGATATGCGGTGTGAGATGATATTGATAGAGGGTTGGAACATATTTGTTGGCAGGTGATCCGGATTCGATATCAGGGCAAAAGGCAGTTCACCTAGCGTTGAAGTCATTAGGATTGTCCAACTCCATTGACAGAACGTGCAACAGCCAACTGGGAAGCATCCACGAGGAGCTTGCCCTCGCATCAGCTAAGTCCACCTCCTCCCAAATTGTTGATGCCAAATTAATTACTACACCCTCATCCGTAGTAAAATAATTATACGAAAGAGAATAAGGCCGTGACGACTAGGAGTGGTGATGGATGGATGGATGTGTTCTTAGCTTTTGTATTGTAATGTTGTGACTAAAATGACTATAATGTAAATCATGTTCTCTTTTCATGTTTCTTTTCAAACTTGTCTTAGTCTTCTCCTCATGGGCTCCTTGTCTATATATGAAGAGTTTTTTCCTCTCTTTTGCTTTTCATATTTATAAGGTCATATTCGGCCAATAAGTGGTTTGGAAAATAAGAGTTTACATTAGCACCCCACAATACATTCCAACCGTGTATTGAGAACATTTCTTGATAACATTTACGAGAGATGATCTCAATCCACACTGAGATGTGCATGTGGAGTGTCTGTGGGGCGCCCCTTGTGGAGCTTTAATGTGATCTCGGAAAATAAGTACTTATTTGAATAATTACTTATATCTGAATAATTACTTATTAGTGTTTGAGGGTATTTTTGGTGACTTACTTAACCAAAAAGTATTTATTTTTTGTGAAATTTATAATTATAACCCTATATTGAACTATTTCGATGAAATTATATTGTGAATATTATATTGAACTATTTCGATGAAAATGACAATTCTAGCCTTCAAGACAAACATGGGCCCATGTGTCACACACATGGCACTATTAAATAATTTTTTTATATAAGAGAATACAATAAATAATTTGAAAAAATAATTTATTGTAATAATAATAATAATAACAATAATAGTAATAATAATAATAAATAATATTTTCATGATTAATCTATCTATATATAGATAAACTAAAATCATAAGAAAATATTAGCAATTTAACCACAATTTCTACTTGCATAAATTGGATATTAACATTTTCATAAAAAAGAATTGCTAGGAATATAACTAGCATTGAAGAGGCTACCCTCGAGTAGTTGTCTTTGCCTCTTTTCCAAACATAGATCTGGGAGAAAATGGCAAAAAATGGGTCAAAACCCAACACAGCAGAATCGCAGCCCAAAACGGTGAGAAATCAAGAAAAAAAAAGGGGGATTTCACTTGCATGAACTGTGAAACCCTCCCTGGTTGCTCACGCCTCCACCTAGGTTCACTACTGTCACCTATGATTCGTACTTTCGTAGGAATGAAAAAACGGTAAGGTTTTATAGAAAGGGGCAATGTGGGTATTTCGAAATTTTTTGAATATAATTTTGTCCCACCGAAATAAAATAAGCACTTAACATAAACAGTCCTGAGCCAGATTATCTTTTAAGCATCTATTTTTAAAATAAGTGCTTATTCTTGGCTTTTATGCCAAACATCAATAAATATTTATTTATCACTTATTGTGTGATTCCACTTATTATTTTAAGTAGATATTTGAATAAATACTTAAAATAAATGATACTCCGCAGCCACCAAATAGACAATGAAAACGTTATAAATAATAGCTATTTGGATATTCTCTTCCTTGTAATTTACTTTCACGGTTTCACCCTCTGGCTTTGGCTATATAGCTCTAAGTTTCGTTGGTTTTGTTGGGTAATTAGTTAATTTTTAGACTTATCATGCTGCAAGCACAACAAGAAAGTAGATCAGAGGTATAACAGATGTCGGATGAAAATGTCATGACTTAAAAAACCAATCCCAAGTCATTAATTACTTGAAACAATATATTGGTCAAATAAGTGGAGGATAAATCAATGTTTTCAACATGTGGTTGACTCAATCTGTCGAATCATCACTCGATTAGGATTCTGGGTTTCGTTCGGTCAAGATCTGTCAAACGGTTACAACCGTTGATTTTGTCAAGAAAATGATTGGTTTGATCATTGACTCATTCGACCTGGTGGTTGAGTCGCAGGTTGCACATTCAATGTATGCAAAATTTTTGAAGGCCATAACTTTGTATTTCGATGTTCGATTGGGGTGATTTTTTTTTATTTTAATAATTTTTCGAGATCTATGCGTCTCAAGGGGCCATAGATGCCTTGCCTTGCTATTTTTGCAAAAATCCCCTTTTTGCCTCAAATTACAATTTTTAATATTTTTTATAAATAAAAATTAAAAATTGAATTAAAAAACATAAATTTACATATAACATATATAAAACATATTTATACATTATTTATTGCTAAATTATATATTTACACACACACACACACATATATATATATATATATATATACATATATATATATATATATATATATATATATATATATACATATATATATATATATATATTGTACAGGCTTTTTTGTTTCACATTTCAGAATATATTAATGTAAAGGAAATTAATGTTATTATATGCATGCCATTTTATTATATAAATAAATAAATTTATTTCAAAATTTATGATGTATCAATTAATTAATTTAATTTAAAAATGATATTTTACTAAATTTTCATAGTTTCAAGTTTCATATAAATATTTTCAATTAATTTTTAATAAAATATAATATTAAAATCATTTTTAGATCATTTCAATCAGGCAATCCGAATTCGATTTGAATCCAGCATAAATCTGATCAATAAGAACCGATTTAAATTCAAATATAAATTGCATCAAAGTTGAATATACCTGCATCCGGTTTATTAATTCGAACAGTTTGTAGCCCTAATTCGATTCCAATCCAAATGTTAATAAATTCAATTTGGATATAGGTACATTCCATCTACTTGCAGTTCTAACCATAATCTAAGATTTGGTTGATTAGGCTTAATGCTCGAATTAAAAAAAAATAAAAAATCCCAAAGGACTCTTGCCATGGATTTTCCAAAAATAAGAAGCAATGAGAGTGCACTGAAGTTTGTTACTTGTTACATTCATCGGCTTACTTGAATTTGAAAATAAAGAGATGGTGACAAGACACAAAGACAATAAGACAACAGAGGTGACAATCCCATTACGGCGCACTATAGTTGTAGAACAGTAGCATTACACTACGTGCCTCCAGGCGCCACTCTATGTGCCAAGTTTCACCATACTGAAATGACAAGGAGAAAATTAGTTGAAGTAAATTTTAAAATAAACAACAAAATCTTTTTACTCTGTTTGCTTCTCTAAATGTATTGAGTTGCATATATATACGATACGTTTGATCTCTCTTTCTGCTATAAATTGGCAAGTTAGAGGAGCCATTTCAAGAACATCTCATATATAGTTGTAGCAATCACAGATTTCTTTTAAGATTTTCTCCATGCCTGCATCGGTTTCAGTATCTTCAATGGCGAGAAAGGATCAGGTTTTTTCTTTTTCTTTCTCTTAGTAGTTCGTTTATATTACAAGTCTTTATCTCATCAGTTTTATAAGATATTGTGTGAAATGGGTTTTTAGTTATTAACTACTTTTGGTTAGAATTCTAGCAAATTCCCTGAAATCGACTGGGTTTTGTATTATCAAAGTCATGGCATGGTTCTTTTGGTACATGAAAATGAAATGGATTCCAATATGGTCACTTGCTTAGTGCATGTTTCACGATTAAGGAATTCAAGAAATGTTGAACGGTTTTGTTAATGAGACATCAATTTTCTGATGATTTTGGTCTGTTTCTACAAGGAATTAAGTTATTGACATCCGTGTAATGATTTTTTGGTTTCTATTTACTGGGTATTTGAAGTACAAGGCAGATAGACTGGGCACTTTAAATGTTCTACCATGATACGAAGTTTTCTTGTCTTTTGTTTATGGATCCCTTTAAAAAGAACAAAAGATTAATCAATTATATTTCAACCCAGTAATTCGAGCGAAAAAGCCTTTGAAATTGGCTGTTATATGAGATCTCTAAATTCTCCTTTTATCCTATGCACTGGTCTCAGTTTTGGAGAAAGGAAAATTTTTTAATTAGTAGAGACTTGCTCATTTAATTTAGCTTTTCAAGGAAGGAAAGGCCTAATGGGGCCTAATGGAGAGGTGGGACCTGCTTGTCTTCTTAGAAAGAAATATTGGCAATTCAGAAATCTAAACATTAAATAAAACCAAACCATCAAAGGGTCCAACTGTGTTTTAGTATATCATATGAAATGAACTGAACTGTGTTTTCATACACTAGCTTGACAACTATAAACTACATTTTAAAAGTAAATACTGTGGAAGAAGCTTTTCGTTTGAATGCTTTAGAATATATACAAAGTATAAGATACAGCTAAGGTGGATGGAACTAATGACATGTTAGGAAACGCATGGATCAAATTTTTCCTAAGTCTCTCTGATCAATCGATATTTTGCATTTTTGGCTTGGAAATACATGAACAATAAGCCTAATATAGCTTGTCATGCATGTACCAATCAAATCATATCAAACTATATATGTAAATTGACATCTTACAGTAGTCATAAACCTTGGATCAAAGTAGATTACAAATTTCATAAATCGTAATAGTAAAGTGCTTAATTGCTTATAGATAACAGAGGAGGAAAGGGGGTTTGAAGCTGAAGTCGCTGAGGTGCAAGCATGGTGGAACTCCCATAGGTTCAAGTTAACTCGTCGTCCATACACGGTTAGAGATGTGGTCTCTCTCCGAGGCAGCCTGAAACAAAACTATGTCTCCAACCAACTTGCCAAGAAACTATGGAGCACTCTCAAGACCCACCAAGCCAATGGGACTGCATCGAGAACCTTTGGTGCTCTAGACCCAGTTCAAGTCACCATGATGACCAAGCACTTGGATACTATCTATGTTTCTGGTTGGCAGTGTTCATCCACACACACAACCACCAATGAACTGGGGCCAGACCTTGCAGACTATCCCTATGACACTGTCCCAAACAAGGTTGAACACCTCTTCTTTGCTCAAGAATTCCATGATAAGAAGCAAAGAGAGGCTCGAATGAGCATGAGCCGAGAAGAGAGAGCTAGAACCCCTTATATAGATTACTTAAAGCCTATAATTGCTGATGGGGATGCTGGTTTCGGTGGTGCATCTGCTACTATTAAGCTTTGCAAGCTTTTTGTGGAGCGTGGAGCTGCTGGTGTGCATATTGAAGACCAATCTTCAGTGACTAAGAAGTGTGGGCATATGGCTGGAAAGGTTCTGGTTTCGGTCAGTGAACACATCAATAGGCTTGTTGCAGCAAGGTTGCAATTTGATATCATGGGAGTTGAAACTGTGTTAGTGGCCCGTACGGATGCTGTTGCAGCTAATTTGATCCAGACAAATGTTGATGCCCGAGACCATCAGTTCATACTGGGTGCAACTAACCCTAGTCTCAAAAGCAAGAGCTTAGCCATGATCCTATCTGAAGGGATAGCTGTGGGAAAGACAGAAGCTGAGCTTCAAGCTGCAGAGGACAATTGGCTATCAATGGCCCAATTGAAAACCTTCTCCGAATACGTAGTGAACTCAATTAAGAATATGAACATTGGGGAAGATGAGAAACAGAGTAGATTGAATGAGTGGATGAACAACTCTGGCTTTGATAAATGTCTCTCAAATAATCAAAGCAGAGATATAGCGGAGAAGCTGGGGCTTAAGGACTTGTTTTGGGACTGGGACTTGCCTAGAACCACAGAAGGTTTCTACAGGTTCAGAGGATCTGTAATGGCTGCAGTTGTGCGTGGTTGGGCTTTTGCACCTCATGCCGACCTTATTTGGATGGAAACTTCATCCCCTGATATTGTGGAATGCACCCAATTTGCTGAAGGAGTGAAGTCCAAGTACCCCGAAATGATGTTTGCCTATAATCTTTCTCCCTCTTTCAATTGGGATGCGTCAGGAATGAGCGATGAACAGATAAGGGACTTCATACCTAGGATCGCAAAGTTGGGCTTCTGTTGGCAATTCATAACTCTGGCAGGGCTCCATGCAGACGCGCTCATCACTGATACTTTCACCAAAGATTTTGCTCGGAGAGGGATGCTGGCTTATGTGGAGAGGATTCAGAGAGAAGAGAGGAAAAATGGAGTTGATACATTGTTTCACCAGAAATGGTCAGGCGCAAACTACTATGATAAGGTGCACAAGATTGTCCAGGGAGGTATCTCTTCCACTGCTGCCATGGGTAAAGGTAAGTCATCCTCTCCTTTTCATTTTATTCCATAATTTACTTGTACAGAAGAAGCTCATTAAATATGTCTGCATGCTATGGCTGATTTTCATGTATCCAGACCTGAACAATTTCTGGTTATTTGCTCTAAACATGTAAACGTGCATGTATCTAATGTCTTCCCCTGAATGGGTTTAATTGAAGGAGTAACTGAGGAGCAGTTCAAAGAAACTTGGACTCGGCCAGGAACCATGAGAGTCAGAGAAGACGACAACATTGTCATTGCCAAGTCAAGAATGTAGAAGGCAATACCCTTTTACAAGGAATACATAGAAATTCTACATTTGATTAAGTTTATCATCTTAATTATCTGCTCGTCTTGGTACTTTTGCTAAAATAAATCTTTTTGTCTAATCCAAACCTGCCGAGTGCCTAGTGCCGGACAGAGTTCTTAAGTGATCCTAATTCTTGTTAATGGATTAGGTTTTTGTTGAAGAATTGGTGGAGGGGTTGACTTATTTACTACTGGGATCAAACCTTCACTGATACTGGGATTAAAATGGCATCTGAGCTCTATAATTGCTTTTGTTTGAGTTGACAGCGTACTTCAAATACAATTTCCCATCTTCTTGAATGTTTGTTGATCATGAAGAGCAGGTCAGTGAACTCAAACACATTCTGGGAAAATGAATTTCTCTATATTAAGAATCTTTGCAATGAAGAAACCAAAATCAAAACCAGCTTGTTTCTGTTACAGAGATAAAATTGGATTCCGTTTCTCTGCCCGTCCTCTCTCTCTTTCTCTCAATATACCCCCTAGTCTCCTTGTCCAAATTCTTCAGAAAACCCAAAACAATCCTGAAATCTCACTGGGTTTCTTCAATTGAATCAAAACTAATCTAGGCTTCGAATCAGATCCCGATACTCACCACATTCTAATTGAATCCTAGCTTCTTCAACTGAACCACATGTCTGTCTCCAGACTCCAGCATAGAATATTTCGAAAATGTCATGCATACAACACCTATACCAATACCTAAAATGACTTCCCAAATATTGTTTACCACAGTACCAGACATTTGTGTGATTTATGATGCAATACTTCAAAACTGGCCAACTCCCTTTACAGGAGAGAGGACCTGGACCAATTTGAGGCTTGAAATCAGATAATAATCCTTTGTCATGCTTCACAGATAGCTTATTCTAGAATTGCAAAGATAATAGAAGCACAATCTATACACAAGTTCTAAGAAGCAATTGAGCATTTAGAAAGTTATAGTAGAGAAACTTAGCTCTTACAAACAAATAGGCTCTGCAATTAAGAACCATTAGATTGGAACTTGAAAACAAGTTATACTTAACCGCCTAGGTTGAAGCCACACAAAATAAGAGTTCTAGGCCAACCATCATGCATTCTTCAGCATGCACGAATATAAATAGGAGACTTCGTCCAGATAGTTTAGAAGTACATACTTACAATATATGCAATTTCAAGATTCAATTAGTCCCCCACCCCAAAAAGGTAGTAAACAGGTTCGTTTGGGAAATCCCAGAGTGTCCCTAAAATCCCTTATGAACTTTATCTCAACTTTCTGTTTCTCCCTTATTTTCTATCAAATCCTTAGAAGCCCATTGCATTAACTCTGTAATCTTTAAATTTCACACAAGTTCAATGATTGTGTATTTCATGGTTTTCAAAGTACTTAGTAGCCTAGTTACCAAGGTGAGGTTAGGTGACAGGGGGCACCTTGTTGCCTAGGCATCTAGCAACTAGCAACCATTTTTCACTAGTAATTCTAAGGTTTTTCACTCGGTTCATAGCATCTAGCAACCATTTTTCACTTGTAATTAGCCATAATCTTCATCAGAAAAAGTATAAAGATAAAGTTCATATTGAAACATAGAAAATCAACATTCTTCTGAGAAAAAAAAAAACAAGAAAGAAAAGAAATTTATATGGTACAGGGGTTGTGCCCCTGTTTTTGTTAGAAGAAGACAGCATATAGTATATACCAACATGTGTATTTATTGAACCCTGACAAATAAGAAATTAATAAAAAGAAACTAGTATTTTTTTCGACAGTAAAAGATTAAAGAAATTTTCTTAAAATAAAAAGGAGAATGAATGGTTTAGTTTAATAATATCTACTTTACTATAATATTTTTCAAAAATAATGAATATAAAAACATTTCATAGCGCCATATACAAAAGCTTAAGCAAGGCAACCCTCCACAGACACCTTGTCACCTAGGCATTGCCTTCACAACTATGGTATATTTTCATATGCCTTTCTATGGTTGCTCCATGAGGAAATCAATCTCCATAGCACTGATTCCATTTTCTGAATTTTTTTAGAAGGTAAGGTAAAACTTTTATTAAAGAAGGATGAAAAAGATACAACAATTTCCGAGCATCTCACCCAGAAAGAAGACATGTTATAGACTCCAAACGGACTGAGTACAAAGCAAATGGAAATTGAGACGTACAAAAGATAAGATTTTGAGACTTAAATTCAGAGTTAACTGACATCCAAGAAGCAAGCTTAGACACTGTAGCCTGAATTAATTTCTCCTTTAGTCCATAAAGTTACTAAGGCAGCCTCGGGGG